AATCAGATCACCTCTCATTCTTTTGAAACTGTGAGGAATTGGTGTGATGTACGTTTGAGCATACTCGCTGAAGTTTCAACGAATGAGAGCTGATCTTTTTGAAACGTCTGAGATCCTGGGGGTAGTTGACTCGAGAGTCTCAAACTGAAGACACAGTAAAACAATTCACACAGAGCTGAGAGGAATAGCCGGGAGTTAGCGTTCTCTTGTCTCCCAAAGAGCAGTGGAGCTTCGGTCGTTCAATCAATTCCAGGGCGAGCTAGGTTTTATTGATTGTTGAGAGTCGAGAGTTATAGGGGGCCAGCTGGAAAGTGCAGGTGAGGCTACAATCGGACCAATCGCCATCTTGTTGAATGGCAGACCAGGCCCGATGGGCTGAATGGTCTTGGGTTCTTATAAAGTGCAGCAGGCAATATGCACAAAGCAAGGTCCCATGAGCAATGGCTGAAACAATTGAGCATTTGATTCTTGTTTTGAGGGGGCTGTTAAGGGAGGTATGTTGACTGGGAGCCACCCCATCTCATGAGATTTTGTTTTTAAAGACTATCTATCTGAGAGGGGTGTCAACGTAACTCCTGACCCGAAAGGCTGAGCTCTGAGGGAAGGCTCACTGTTGATTCTACATTTTCAATCAAAAACCTCTTATTGAGAAGCTCCTTGTGTCAGCAATTGAACCACATTCAGTACGTGAGAGAGCGCAGATGCTTTTCTGGTTTGACCGATGAAATACCGGTGCAGAGTAGCCATTGTTGTGATGGAGGAAGTGTGATGGCCACATTGCACACAGCAAGATCCCGTAAAAAGCAGTGTAATAATGAGATGATTTAATGACTTGCAGGACGAGTTGGATACAACACTTGGAGACAAGTGGTCAGAAGAAATGAGGAGAAAGCAGGAGCAGGCCGTTGAGTTGGATGATCATAGAATCCCTACAACATGGAATGCAGGCCATTCGGCCCATCAAGTCCACACCAACCCACCAAAGAGCATCCCACCCAGATCTACCTCCCACCCCTGTAACCCTGCATTTCCCATGGCTATCCCACCCGGCCTCCACATCCCTGGACACTATGCGGCAATTTCCCATGGCCAATCCGTCGCAACCTGCACATCTTTGGACCGTGGCAGGAAACTGGAGCACCCAGAGGAAACCCACGCAGGCACGGGGAGAATGTGTAAACTCCACACAGACAGTCACCTGAGGGTGAAATTGAACCCGGGTCCCTGGTGCTGTGAGGCAGCCATGCTAACCACTGAGCCACCATGCTGCCCCGATCAGCCGTGATCATATTGAATGACAGAGCAGGCTCAGAGGGCCAAATGGCCTACTACTCCCCCTATTATCTATGTTTCAATGAGAACCACATCTGTTCAGTGGTGTGTTTTTTTTTTGTTGTTATTGTTGTTGTTGAGGGTAAATATTATCTGGGCACTTTCCAAACCATGACCACTTCCATCTAAAAGGACAAGGGCAGCAGATATACGGGAACACCATCCCCTGCAAGTTCCCCTCCAAGCCACCCACCATCCTGACTTGGAAATATATTGCCGTTCCTTCACTGTCGCTGGGTCAAAATCCTGGAATTCTGTCCCTAAGGCCATTGTGGGTCAACCCACAGCACGTGGACTGCAGGGATACAATTAGGCAGCCCACCCCCACCTTCTCAAGGGGCAACTGCACCCTCATCCTAAGAATGAGTTAAAAAAATACACAAGTGGCAGAATGTCAAGATGTACGTTCCTGGGAAAAACATGACAAAAAAGTCAACCGTAAAAACACTGCGGATGTAGGAAACCTGGCAGACAGGAACATCTGTACAGTATTGGGTGGGGTATCAGTTAGTATTATTGTAAGGTTTATTGTAGCTCCTGTCACAGCCACAGGAACACCTAAAATCCTTTCATTGCCAAGAAATCCTCCCTTTTGAAGCAAGTCACTTTCGTGGTGTAAGAAACATGGCAGCTCAGCTGTTCACAGCAAGATCCCACAAGCAGTCACTGAGGTGATAACCTGATAATTTTGTGGCTTGGAAATTGGGGAGCTCAGCTGTGCCCTTCCAGTTCTTTTTGTGGGATCTTTCTCGCCCACTGGAGCCAGCAGACAGAGCCTCACTCCAACACTGCTGCACTCTGTGGATACTGCGCTGGGAATGCCGGCCTGGATTTCTTTGCTCGAGCCTCCGGAGTGGAACACCACAGACTTGCGTCTCTAAGGCAAGCTGTGAGACCTGGCCAGGGGCTTGCTGGGATTTGAGGGCCATAACTCCCAGGGTGGTCACAAGGTGAGATTCTGGGGTTGTGAACACCTTTGGCATTGGCTAAGTGATTGCTACTTGCTGCAAGGCCCCTCTTTAAATCCCTGTACGTTTCTTAAAGCTTGGGCGTGACCCAACTGACTGCTCATTCAGAGCCTGATTCCTGCTCCCGAAATGTCGGTGAAGAATGTAGCTGTGGGAAAGGGTTAAATCTGAGGAGAGCCTCGAATGCCTCCCGTTTGTAATGGTGGGAGAGGATCAGCTGAGGATCTCATTCCGAGCTCACTAACGATTGAGAGTCTTTGGAATTCCCTTTCTCAAAAGCTAGTGGATACAGAATCCATCCACACTTTTAAGGCAGAGGAGAGAAATCCTTGATGACCGAGGAGATGAAAGATTGTCGGAATGTTCAGGAATGTAGAGTCGAGGTTTAAAATCAGATCAGCTATGATCTTATTGAATGGTGGGACAGGCCTGATGGGCTGAATGGTCTATTTTTGTTGCTTGTTTTAAGAACTACCACCCCAGATCTCCTTTGCAATGTCCTTAATAATGTTCATCACCTCACTGTAAATGTACTTTAATTAGTTCATGGGATGTGGATATCACTGGCTGGCTGAAACATTTATTGTCCGTCCCTAATTGCCAAGAGGGCTGTTAAGAATCAACCACATTGCTGTGGGTTTGGAGTCACATGTAGCCCAGACCAAGTAAGGATGGCAGCTTCCTTCCCTAAAGGGCATTGTTTGAAAGCCCATCTGGTTCACTAATCAGCAATGTTTACCTGGTTACCATCAGGCGTGCTCAGGTTCCAGATTTTATTGAAGTAAAATTTTGCCATGGTAGGAATTTGAACCCAGGAACCCGGAACATTAACCTGGGGTTCTGGATGACTATTCCTGTGACATTACAACTATGCTGCCACCTCCTCAACTTATTCGCCATCGTGTGACAAATATGCAACACCTCATTTAAGACGAGAGCCCTTCAAAGATTAGGTTTTCCTCTGCCACACCAAGCCATCTAGAGCCCACTCGGGTAAAAGGATGGTGGCAGTTCACCTACAGCATGGTGAGCAACAGAGCAGTCAGCTCAATACAACATGATCAGCAGTGAGGATTATAACAAAGAGAGGTTGTTAAAAGATTATAAACCTGCCACTGCCCCCCCCACCCCCAACCGCCTTCCCCTGAAGAAGAGTAATACCTGAAACGTTGACTGCTCCTTTCCTCTAGATGCTACCTGGCTTGCTCTGTTCTTCCAGCCTCCTGTTTGTCTACCTTGGGTTCCAGCATCTACAGTTTTTTGGTGTTCCCTTCCCCTCGTCCAGTTCCCCTTGACAGATCACAACAATCCTTTGAGCCTTGTGATGGGGTCACGGTGGGACATAGTCTGGGGATCACTACCGTAGACACTTGGGTGAAAAGCCTGAAAGGTTTTGGTGGAAAAAATCTTGAGGTGGAGGCTTGTACTGCTTAAAATTCTGACCAGTTATTTTCAGGAAGGGTTTTATTGGTGATAGGCTCAGGGACAATTTAATCATTCATCCTTCATGTCAAATGATAGTGCGCAGAGGGAAGCCATTTGGTCCATCATGTTCTGCTAGCTGTCTGAAACAACCAATTCATCTTCCTTCCCTTCTCCTTTCTAAATAATCAGTCACAGCTACTCCTCCACTAGGGAATGACCAACATACCCACTAACCTTTTCCTGGCAGTATGTGTGATTTGATTTATTTCAGTTCACTCCTGGGATGTGGGCATTGCTGTTGCCCATCCCTAGTTGCCCCTTTAAGAAGGTAGGGGTGAGCTGCCCTCTTGAACTGCTACAATCCTCCTGCTGTGGGTTGACCCACAATGCCCTTAGGGAGGGAATTCCAGGATTTTGACCCAGCGACACTGAGGGAACGGTGATATATTTCCAAGTCAGGATGGTGAGTGGCTTGGAGGGGAACTTGCAGGGGATGGTGTTCCCGTGTATCTGCTGCCCTTGTCCTTCTAGATGGAAGTGGTCGTGCGTTTGGAAGGTGCTGTCTGAGGTTCTTTGGTGAATTTCTGCAGTGCATCTTGTAGATGGTACACACTGCTGCTACTGAGTGTCGGTGGTGGAGGGAGTGGATGTTTGTGGATGTGGTACCAATCAAGCGGCTGCTTTGTCCTGGATGGTGTCAAGCTTCTTGAGTGTTGTTGGGGCTGCACTCATCCAGGCAAATGGGGAGTATTCCATTATCACACTCCTGACTTGTGTCTTGTAGATGGTGGACAGGCTTTGGGGAGTCAGGAGGTGAGTTACTTAGTGCAGGATTCCTGCTGTTGTAGCCACATTTATATAGCGAATCCACTTTTTTTTTTCCTTTATTTATTAATGGCATGAGGGTATCGCTGGCTAGGCAGCAATTATTTCTCAGAGGGCAGTTAAGAGTCACCCACATTGCTGTGGGTCTGGATTCACATGTAGGCCAGACCAGGTAATGATGGCAGTTTCCTTCCCGAAAGGACTTTAGTGAACCAGATGGGTTTTTCCTGACAATCAACAATGGATTCATGGTCATCATTAGATTCTTAATTCCAGATATTTATTGAATTCAAATTCCACCATCTGCTGTGGTGGGATTCAAACCCAGGTCCCCAGAACATTATCTGGATCTCTGGATTAACAGTCCAGCGATAATACCACTAGGCCATCACCTCTCCCATTTAAATGTGCTGTGTCTGTAAATAATTTAGTGTGAGCACCTTTGGGTTGCTAGAGCTTTTTCCCTCCTTTTAAAAAGGGATGATGCAACTGAAATGCTGTAATTGTGTAGGCAAATCAGTACTAGAGTCATTGAGGTCTACAGCTCAGAAAAAGACCCTTCAGCCTATCAGATTTTCACTGGTCAAAAACAAGCACTTGACTATTCTAATCTGATTTTACAGCATGCAAGCCATAGCTCTGTTTGCCTTGTAGAATTGACTGCAGCATGTATGTTTCTCCTAGTTTGGTTAAATATATAGCTCCTGGAGTTATAGATTTTTAAGTGACCAGAGTTTGTTGCTAATCCACAATTGCCCTTGAACAGAGTGTCTTGTCTTGTTCAGCCATTTCAGAGGGCAGTGAGAGTCAACATGCTGCTGTGAGCCAGACCAGGTAAAGACAGCCGATTTCCTTCCCTAGAGGCTATGAGGGAACCAGCAGGGTTTTTGTGTGACATACCTCTGTTTACATTTTCACATAATTCTACCTCAATTAATCATGTTACATCTGGTGGCTAGAGTTTTCTTAAGGAAAGGGTTACTGAACCAAAGCAGATATAAGGACACTGACCGGAATTGGTGCCATTGAGTGACAGAACAAGGCCGAGAGGCCTCCAGTTGTGTTGGAGAATTTTGCAGCACAGAAAGGAGGCCGTTCTCCCCATCATGCCCCTGAAAGACTTTAGTCCCATTTCCTGGCTCCGCATCTCTGTACTTACTCTTTAAATATTAATATAATTCCCTTTTATAAATGTTGCTATTGAATTTCATCACCTTTTCAAATTGCAACGAGTTGAATAAATAACTTCTCTTTTTCCACTGTCTTGCCAATGGTCTCCAGTCTATGTCCTATGTTAAATGGCCCTTCCCCCTGTCAGTTTCTCTCTAGCTTCTCTATCAGAAGCTGTCACAATTTTCAACTGAAGTCACCTTTTAACCTTGTTGCTCTAAGAAAGACAATCCTGGGTTCTCTTGTCTCTCTGCACTCACTGAAGATCCATGTCCCTTCCTAGTAAATCTTCTGTGCACCCCTACTTGCCAGGGTGCTCCCTACAGTGCAACCTAACCAGTGTATTATCAAGACTTACCAAAGCTGACACACTTTTAAATTAATCCCAACTTTCTGTTGAAGGTCCAGGGTTCTTTTTTAATTGTGTCCTCAGTTTCAGAGGTTTGTTGTACATTAATGTCCAGGTCTCTCGTGCTCTCTCTGTTTCTTTGCACCCCCTTTTAAAGCTAATCCATCCAGTTTATAGTCTCCAACCTCGTTCATGACTGAAATGAATTATTTCACACTTCTGGAATCTGCAAAATATCTGCTGATTTCACCATTGACCTCCCAAAGTATTTCTATCCTCAGCATTTGCTATCTGCCAACGTTGAAAATGTGCCCTTTTATACTCCAGTGCAGGTTTGTAATTTTCTGTGACATGAGAGTTGAGTTCAGTGGCACAACCTTCTTCAAAATTATCCATGGCCTCATTCTCTGTTGGGACTGCATCAGGCAGCGGTAGGGTCTCTGTGTGTGTGTGTGTGTGTGTGTGTTTTTGTCATTAATTGAGACTGAGCTAAGGGGATGGAGACAGGAGGCTGTAAGCACCAATGGTACTGTCTGTTGCAGTGTTCCAGAGCTGTGTCAGGGATTGTTTATGCATTTATAGGTCTGATGTCATGTGATGCTGAATTTTCACTACAGGCTTTGCATTTTGCCAGCCATTTTGGTCTACACCCAACCTGCGCAGGGAGGGAGCTGTTCTTCGATGCTTGAGAATGGTATTTTGTGAATCACCAGTTAGCAGAGAGCTCCATTTAAACAGGTGCTGAAACATCCCCTCTACTTTTGGAACCTTCATCTCCCAGATTGCCTCCTTGCTGGGGATCTGCAGCTGGACTAAATCTTGAGGATTTGCAGAAAATAAGCTTCTCCTTTTGCCTGTGTTGCTATCCCAGAGGGATATTTTATATATAAGAGAGAGGGAGATCGGTCTCTGATTACAACGTGCCCTTGCTATTGAGGCTGTTTCTGGGTCTCTGCAGTGTCAGCACAAACACCCTTTCTCTCTCTCCCTCTCTCTCTCTCTCTCTCTCTGTCTTTCTCTCTGTGCACCGTGATCCCTTCCTACAAAGCCAGCCTTTCTGCTGCAGGATTTACTTTCACCTTCCAGTCAGCTGGCTCATCATGTCTGACCTGACTCCCCAGAGTGATGCTCCAACACCCACTACAGACAAGATCACCCAGGCTGCCAGAGAGACCATCTACCTGTGCAACTTCCGCGTCTCGGTGGATGGAGAGTGGCTGTGTTTGCGGGAATTGAATGATATCTCCCTTACACCTGACCCAGAGCCTACCCATGAAGGTAACGACCATTTGCAGACCCTACAAGCTGCTCTTTGCTGTTTTTCATGTTTACCCCACCCCCAACCCCCAAACCTGCCAATCTTTAGTAACCATGGCGGCATCTTTGACTAATGAACATTGTCGTTATTGCAAAGCACCTTTTTGCTTTATTTAAAGAACCCTATAAAGTCTGCTCTCAATGATTTTACTGTTTGTTGAAGACAGACTAAACCTACAAGCCAAGTCTGTGTCACTTACCTCATTAAATTTGCTTTAAATTTTATTGTCATTGTGGATCAGAGTTTTTTTTTTGTCTCCCCTACATTGCAAACCTGTTTTGCTTTTATTAATGGACGGGACCAATTGATATAATTTATAATTTAGTCATTGGCACACCCTTGATCTATACCGTCTGCCTCCTCAGATTACATCAGAAACAACCTTGATGGTTTGCAGTTAGTCTGTGTATCGAGACACAGAGCCAATGTGGAGCTCTCATTTCAGATCTGCAGAGGATTGTTTTTCTAAGTGAGAAGCCTTTTTGATTTTTTTTTGTTGTTTTAAGAATTGCACCAGCAGCAGAAACCAGTTAGCAACACAAGACGCATCTTTTCATTTGGAGGAACGTTAGCTTGTGCTGGTCTGATTTCCAATTTTGAAGGCCATCTTGTGAGGAATGTGCTGATTTGTGGTGACGATGCAGCGACTGCCCTCTATTCCTGTCACCCTCCCCACCCCCACCTCCCCAATCTCCCTCTCCTGTCGCTTGACCTTTGAACTGCGTCAGTTGTCCCGGGGTATACTTGAGAATACAAAGACATGCTTTCCCCACTGCCTTTCTTTGGGGGAGGGGCAGGCTGACGCACTTACTCGTAACTGGAGTCAGGGTTTTGATCGTCTCATTTAGTCTGGCCATTGTTTTATTTGCCTGGGTTAACTCTTCCCTATGCAGGGCTGGCACAGATAAAAGGTGTTCAGATTCAGAGTGCACCGAAAGCTTTGGCTGTAGCTATACAGACTTGATTTTGTTCCTGTAGCTTTTTTGGGTTTTTTTTTGCTTCAGAATTGATCTGTTTTCTTTCAGAGGAAAGTCTTCTCTTCATATAGAAGCCTAAATTTATTAAGGTTCTGTAGTAAGCCTCCTCTTCAACAGCACAGTGATTTTAGTCAGCTCATTGCTAAGTTGGTGATTTGGAACAGACACAGTGTGCAGATAAGAATATAGAGAGACAATATAAATTAATTGGAGTACTTGGAAAGAGATAGAGGTAGAGCAACAGAGATAGTAAGAACTGCAGATGCTGGAGTCTGAGATAACACAGTGTGGAGCTGGAGGAACACAGCAGGCCAGGCAGCATCAGAGGAGCAGGAAAGCTGACGTTTTGGGTCAGGACCCGAAACATCGACTTTCCTGCTCCTCTGATGCTGCCTGGTCTCCTAGAGGTAGAGCAAAATGTGCAGAGGACACTGAAAGTCTGCAGAGGGATATAGACAGGTTGTATTCCATGTGCTCACTCACTCAATTTTGGTAAAGTTTTGGTAGGAATAACAGTAAAAGGGAGTATTATTTGAATGGTAAAAAATGGCAGCATGCTGCTGTGCAGAGGGACCTAGGTGTCATTGTGCATGAATCACAGAAGGTTGGTTTGAAGGTGCAGCAGGTAATTAAGGCAGCAAATGGAATTTTGCCTTTCATTGCTGGAGGGATGGAGTTTAAAAGCAGGGAGGTTATGTTACAGCTAAATAGGGTCCTGGAGTACGGTGTACAGTTTTGGTCTCCTTACTTGAGAAGGGATAGAATGAGTTCATAGAATCCCTACAGTGTGGAAACAGGCCCTTCAGCCCAACAAGTCCACACTGACCCTCGGAGCATCCCATCTAGACCCATCCCGCTATAAACCCATCTAAGCTACACATCCCTGAACACGACAGGCAATTTAGCACGGCCAATCCACCTAGCCTGCACATCTTTGGACTGTGGGAGGAAACCGGAGCACCCGGAGGAAACCCACTCAGACATGGGGATACTGTGCAAACTCCACACAGACAGTCACCCGAGGGTGGAATCAGACCCGGGTCCCTGGCACTGTGAGGCAGCAGTGCTAACCCTGAGTAGAACTGAGCCCTGAGCCACCATGCCACCCCGATATCAGGGCACTGGAGGGAGTGCAGAGGAGGTTCACTAGGCTGATTCCGGAGTTGAGAGGGTTGGCTTATGAAGAGAGATTGAGTAAACTGGGACTGTACTCCTTGGAATTTAGAAGAATTCGTGGGGCAGGGGGAGATCTTATCAATTCCCTTCATAATTTTATATATTTCAATAAGATAGAAGCATGAGGTTGTTTCCACTGTGGGGTGAAACGAGAACCAGGGGGCATTGACTCAAAATAAGGGGGAGCAGATTTTGGACTGAGTTAAGGAGGAACATCTCCACCCAAAGGGTTGTGAATCTGGAATTCCCTGCCCAGTGAAGCAGTTGAGGCTACCTCGTTGAATGTTTTTAAGGCAAAGATAGATTTTTGAGCAGTAAAGGAATTAAGTGTTATGGTGAGTGGGCGGGTAAGTGGAGCGGAGTCCATGAAAAGATCAGCCATGATCTTATTGAATGGCAGAACAGGCTCGAGGGGCCAGATGGCCTACTCCTACTCCTGGTTCTTATGTTCTTGTATAGGAACTGAGAACCATGGAAGCCTGCATTCATGGTTATAACTATGCAGGACAAGTTAATGAGCTTTCTTTTAAGAAATAGAGAAGAGATCTAGACTTAATGAGTAGAGGCATAAAACATAAAAGCAAGGAAGTTGTCCTAAACCTGTCAGAGACACAGCCTTCCTGCTCCTCTGATGCTGCTTGGCCTGCTGTGTTCATCCAGCTCTACACCTTGTTATCTCAGATTTTCCAGCATCTGCAGTTCCTACTATCTCAGAGACACTGGTTAGCCTCCAGCAGGGTGTATTGAGCTCATTCTGGCCTTCATACTTCAGGAAGGATGTCCAGATCTTAGTGAGGGTGCAGAGGAGATTGACCGGAATGGGACCAGGGATGAGGGGGGGGGGGGGTGTGGGTAGACTGCAGAAACTGGGGCTGATCTCCTCTAAGCAGAGAAAGGTCCAGGAGAGATTACAAAAAAAAAAAAAAAAAAAAAAAAAAAAAAAAAAAAAAAAAAAACTTGCCAATGGAAAAACATTGGCAAGTGTCAGTAAGCAGATTTGTGGAAATCGGTTAAAAACAAGAGGGGAGTGGAGATTTATTTTTCTCCCCAGTGGGCTGTTCTGAGCTGGAACATTCACTGCTTGAAAAGGTGGTGAAGCAGATTCAGGCTGAACCTCCAAAAGGGATTTGGGTATGTAATTGCCAGGAGACAATTGTGAAGCCTGGCAGGGTGGGGAAGGGGAAAGAGCATTGGGAGTGGGACTAATTGGATAGCTCTTTCAAAGATGGTGGACCAAATAGCCGCCTTCAGCTGTGTGAGTCCATACATTTCATAGCATGTTGCCTGCTGCACAGGTCAATACAGCAGGTTTCCTGGAATTATCTTTCGCTGTCCCTTTGGGGTTTCTTCTGTGGCAGGGAAAGGCTTGTTATTAGTTTCACAGCTTTTCTGCAAAGCAGTTTCTGTTTCCTGTTTTAGTTCCTTCTTTGAGCACCTGAAGATGGGTGGCTGGCATGGGTCAGATTGGAGCCCAGTGTATCGGGGTTTAATCCCCGTTGTGTCCTGTCGTGGATTCAGGACCTGCCTCATTGCCCAGTCTGTGGTGGAGGTCATGGCGCTGTCACCCGTCTGTCTGGCGTATGTTCTCCTTCAATCAAACAGTGCGAACGATGTGTTTAGATTGTGGGTGTTGTCAGAAGCACAGATACCAATCCAGCATTGAGAATGGGACTTTTTACCAGTCCCTACCAGGTTTTCTGGCCATGTGGGTGAGAGGGCACTGTGTATATACAGTAGCTTAGCTCTTTTTACATATTCTAGTAAACGTGAACCAGTTACATCACTTGCTTGAAAGATTAAGGTTTGCCTTTAAAAATGCCCAAGTGAAATTTGAATAAGTAGGAGCTTTCTGTTACTGTAATTCAAGACAGGAACAGGCCATTCTGCCAATCTGCTTGCTCTGTGCTCTGCAAATCACAACAGATACAACCCAAGTGTCATGGTGTCATTTTTTCTTTTGCAGTCCCCCATTTATTTTTTTCCCTAATTTTAAAAGAAGTTGTTTCTTTTGTTGGTTTTATTTGCATGACATTTTGTCCTTTTTTTTCCCCCTTTTTTACTTTTTGCTGCTCTTTGCAAAGACTCTTGGGAGGATTTAACGGTTTGGGTGGATCAGATACTTGAGGAAGCAGAAGGTGGGTAACAGGATTGTTTCTTGGCTCTTGTGTCTTTGTAAGCTAGCGGTGA